AATTAATTAAGAAAAGTACTGTCCATGTTAACGAGGTGTCTCTAAAGTTGGCTGAAAGCGCATAATTTATAAATGAAATATTATTGCATCTTACCTCCAGCGTACACTTCTGCCCAGTACTTAGCTGTTTTCCAGTAAATGTCTGGGTTTTCTTTAAACTACAAATGAGAAGAAAAGTATGTACTTGCTGAGATGATAACAGTAGTAATACTGTACTAAGGATTCCAATTAGCTCTGACCATCCAGTAAGTGTCGCCTCTCACATAATTGCTCCCCCTTCCAAACTTGTTCTTTGTGATAAGGTCTTCTGTCACATAATGAGCACCACTTGTAAGTATATGTCCCATTTCTAAAGTTTGCCATTTAGAACTTACAGTGGCACACATGTAATAATAACCTGACCCAGTAGCTCTCATAGCATTTCAAGCTAAAATAAAAACTATTTTTCCACCGCACCTCCCTGTGTCTTAACTGTCTCAAGTCAAGATAAGCAATTAACATTAAATGTTAGTTTCTGCACCTGTTTTGCTACAACTGCATCTTGTGGATCATCAGGCTCTGCAGCAGACAACAAAGCCTGGGGATATCAATAATAAAAATAATTTTATTTTGTTTTGTTTAACAAAATACCAAGATTTCATTTCATTGTCTTAGGTACCTGACAGAGGAACCTTTGCCTTAAAAATGATATCCTAGTCTATACTCGTCTGATGGTACATGTACTCAGCACAGACTATGGAAACTTTGCAACAAGGCAGTTGCCAGTTTAGTACCGTAGAATTCCGAAAGATTCAGCAGCCAAAACAGGCTGCTACTTTGGGGGAGCCACTACTCATGGGTAGCCATTACTTTGCTATGGTTAAAAACCATTCGTACGGTAACAGTTGTTTCAGACAAAGTGGACGTGTAACACATGAAATTAAAAGTTATGTTTATGTGTGTTCCTAACCACCCACATAACCAAAGCAGACGGTATAAACAAAAAAGGCCCTAAACGTTGGTATTGTAGGGTGAAAGTATTGTATCACATTATATCGTGATGCAACTGATTACACTACAGCATATCATTTGACTCTGCTGCTAGAGAAATACAGCTTATAAATCATAGTTTCACGAAAACTTCAGTCAAGTTTGAAATGAAATACCAAATAACTCTTCAAGTTGTTCGGTCATGCAGTCAGGTTGCTCCATCCGCACTCCACATTGCGCTTGAGATTAAAGTTTCTCTTTTGGTGGCTTCATCAAAGGGCTGCTACTTTCGGGTGGGCTGTTACTTTCGGGGGGACCATTACTTTCGGGGTTCAATAGGATGGTAAAAAATTAATGTTACTTTCCGGAAGCCGTTATTTTCAGGGGGACGGTTACTTTTGGAATTCTACAATAGATCATTTGGGAAACTACTGTGAGCTGTGATTGTTCAATAGTTTCATACTGCCTCACCTGTATTGACAGTAAAACAGTACGTAGTGTCATTGCTGCAGCCCTGAAAAAAAGAAAAAAAGATGTAATAAATTTGTGGCTTTGCTGTAATATTTTTATTTTGAAAAAAATATCTAACAATATAGTAACATCTTTATTGTGAGAAGATAGAGCATTTTAGTATAGTTACAGGTAATTGCTGCAAATTGCAAACATATGGCTGTTTAATTAAATTATACACGCTTAAATGGAGACACACAACTTGCCTTTTCCAGCTCCGCTTTAATTTTTTCAAGTACAATAGTATGCTCATATCTCCTTACCAAATTATAATTTGTATGAAAACTGTACTGTATATGTATGGGTGATCAAATGGTGATGAGTGAAATTAGGAAATAATCTCACATGCATTTTGTCAACATTCTAATAATTTCACAAGTTTACCATTTGATTAGCTTTTACTATCATAGGTGATAAATATTATTGCCCTCACAATTGTGCGTTTTTGAGTTGTTTATTATATCGAGAAATTTTGCGCCAAATGTTGCTATGGCAATTATAAATTAATGCTGAAATTTTGTGCCAAAATTAAGGACTAATTTGTCATCCATGATATTATTATAAGAAATAACATTTCCAAGCATGTTTAACTAAAATGTTAATGGTGGCCATACTGTACATGTATATAAATTGCATGGGCAAAAAAACCTACAGGTATGTATCAGCCTATCTCTTTTGGGTCAAGTCAAAAACAAATCCTCTTACCATTGATCTTTCAAGATGTCCAGACATATTGCTCCTGTAACAGAACTTATATTTGGATGCCAGATCTTTGTCACAAAATTTACCTTGAAGACAAATAATTTAATTCAATGTATTGTTATTAATAAAGCTAATTGTTTTAAAAATAGCATTGCCAACAGATGTATATATAAATTATAAAAAAAGTGATTTTTTTTGTCATTAAAGTCTTGGGTTTTTTCCTTTTCTTATCTTACTTATGCATAGTTTCTATCCATACAATTTATACAGTCACAGTTTTTACATTATTTTCATATTCTTACACATTCTTAGATCTTTTGTAATGTAGTTTAATATTTTTAACTAAATGTAGGTACATTTTTAGTTTGTTATTTTGTTTTCTTGGCACATCTGTAAACTGGCTGGTGTGTCCTGTAGTCTCTGCTTATCAAGTCTAAGGGACACACCGTTACCATAGCTAAGTGTGTTGCCCAAGTAAAATAAACTGTCTACATGAATCGTTATGTCTATGTTTACCTTTGGTGGGTTAAACGGATATGTTTCAGGGATGACAATATCCAATTTGTAGCTTCCACCTGGAAAAGAACAAGATTTCTTACAGTAGTCCCACAAGTTTTGTCAATTGCAGAGTTTACACATATCTCTGTTGCTATACTTTTTATTCCAATTTTCCGCAATGGTTAACAGAGGTGTTAGTGTAGCATTCTGCACAAACATTTAATAATCAGGGGAGGGGCACTGAGAACCCAGTTGTTTGCAGTGGCTTGAATCAATAGCATTGTGCACAAATAACATCACGAAAATTTAACCCCTGGTGTGACTGAGGCAAACAAACCCATTCATGGGCTACTTCTTTGAGAGCGACATACAAAACAAAGGTGCTCTTCAGCTCTTCAGCGTGGTACTCAGTGATTAATTTCACATTTGACGGCCTCTCTAGCTTGAACTGTGCGAGAAAACCTACGTCATGTGCCTTGGAATAATAATAATACAAAGTTTGAAAGAGGGTGGCAAAATATGATGGGATTCTCATGTATGAAGGCTGTTTATGAATAAACTCCTTACATCCAGAGCAGAAAAAAAATATGATTATTGTGCCTGACATTCAGGTGTATCACTCACAAGAAAGCCAGCAAACCAGCAAAGAAATACCATAAAGAAATACTGTAGAGCTCACAGTGACAGATTTGTTTTTGTGGTTGGATAAATGGCTCTATTAAAATCTAGGTCC